TATATATGTGGGGTTTTTTTCTCAAAATTTCTTCAAGTTAAACCGGACCTTTATTTTGAAATTTTTTCGTAAAAACCATTGAGTTTCTGCATTTTGCCCATTGCCGAAATCCTAAAATTATTTAGTGGCCTCTCCAGCTATGGGTTGTGCATCTGAGGGGAAAGTGCCATATAGTGACGGGAAAAAAACGTGAAATGAAGAAGAGTTTTATTCTCAGAGATCGGACAGTCTGGTGTCGGCGGACTCTGAACTGGCGCAGTGTGAGACGGAGGTCAACACGTTACTGAAGATCATTTCTGACCTCAACAGGAAGATGGACTCCTTACAAATACCACGGTAATCACGGCTTCAAACAATTGCAAACTATATATATATATTGCTCTACACTAAGTGAAAGGTGTGTGTTCTGACAGAGAAAGTCCAGTCGGGGTCAGTGGGTGCGTCCCACAGCAGGGCTCGATGGTGGACGCTGGCACAGCATCAGTGGAGTCCAAGACCAAAGACGTCTGCAGGGACTCAGAAGGCATGTTGTGTTTATACAATGCCTCATCGTCAATCACAGTAAATGCTGTGTCAGAACGGACAGCCTGCTATTTACTGCGCTATTGGCCTGCCAGACTTTTGTTTCCAAATGCAAAGCTACTTATTAAACTTTAAAATTATTTTCTCTGGGCACATTATAACGTTTCCGACACATGCTAGTATTTTTTTCTAAATTAAGGCTCCTGAGAAATGTTGAGAATTTTTACTCTTAGATGCTATTGTAACTTCCATTTAAATTTTTCTGTATTGTGTTTTTTTTTGTTTTCTGGACTCTATTTTAGTTCAATAGTTAAATTAAATAGTAATCAAAAAGCATGTCTAATAAATTGTAATCATGACATTATTACTATTGCTATTATTATTACTTTGAATAGTACATTGTACTGTACAATAATATATATTATTATTGCACAGTACAATGTACTATTCAAAGTAATAATAAATATATATATATATATATATACAATAATATATATATATATATATATATATATATATATATATATATATATATGGACAGCCTGCTATTTACTGCGCTATTGGCCTGCCAGACTTTTGTTTCCAAATGCAAAGCTACTTATTAAACTTTAAAATTATTTTCTCTGGGCACATTATAACGTTTCCGACACATGCTAGTATTTTTTTCTAAATTAAGGCTCCTGAGAAATGTTGAGAATTTTTTAGTTGGGAGGAAAAATAACACTAAAAACCAAAAACTTAGGTAATCCACGAGTTTTCATAATGGTGTTCACATCTGCTCATAATGGTGTGCAAACAACTGAAAAGTTATTTTTATGATGATGATGATGATGATGATGTAATAATAAAATATTGCTAATCATTTTTTTAACATTTTTTTTTTATATATATGAATATGGATGAAGTCAGGAGGACACAATAATACTAAAAAACAAAACCATAGTGAGTAATTTAAGAGTTGCTTTCATAATGGAGTGCTAACATTTAAAAAGAAAGAATAAATATGGATGTCGGAAGGAAAAATAACACAAAAAATTAAAAACATTGTTTTTCTCTTCATAATGGAGTGCATGCAAACATCTAAAACGTTCTTTAGTAATAACTTATTTGTTATTATTAAGTAACTTTAAATAAAATGTTAAAATTTATTTGTATTTAATAATAATATTCATCATTTTAAAAAACATTCTACAGAATAAACTAAAGAATTATAATAATTGTATTTTATTACTAAAATAATAAATCAAAAATCAGGAATTTGGCTCATAACTAAAAACAATGATAATTATTATAATAAAAATATTAATGTTTATTAATAAAATGACTAATAAAATTAATAATAATAAAGTTAGTATTTTGTCACATTTTCCCTAACTACTTCAATATTTTGTGTTGAATAATTGTATCTGAATAATTTAAATATTCCAACAACAATTTGGAAATTTACCCCCCCAAAAAAATCACTGTTTTTGCGCAGGGGGCAGCAGTGAGCTTTGGAACCAGCTGCAGAAGGTTCTCTCTGCTCTTGAGGCGTCTAGTGGTCAGGGGAGGAAAATGCTCAGGCTGCATACTCAGAATGCTGAGACAATCCAGGCAAAGCATCTCTCTGCAGCCCGGGAGAGCTGGGTTCAGGCCACACAGGTGCTCGTGTAGCCCCCTCTGTAGGGTACTGCGTGTGCTGTTTGCAATCTGAACTTCCTCCATGCAGCTCTGACCTGTGTGATCTGCCCCAGGTGCTGGAGGAGATGGAGAGGGATTTGGGGATCTCGTACCCCTCTGCTCTGCCCCCTGATGAGAGACGTCAGTATCAGCGGGATGTTCTCTCACTCTACAAACACAACCAAGACCTCAACAACTCCATGAAGAGCCGTCAGGAAGAGCTTGTGGGTGCTGAAAGAACTCTGGTGGATCTTGAGGACGAGAAAAAGTGGCTACAGGAAAAGGTTGATGGGGACATTCTTAATCAATCATTAATACAGAAAAGAGCTTTCCTTTATAAAACTCAATTACTACTACAGATCTACTGGACATAAATTAATGGTGCCATAAACAGAAAAATATATGGAAATATGTTTATATGCTGGCCTCCGTTACACTCACCCCCCTAAAGCTCACTCCCATCCAGGTCACGGCACCAATGTTACCCCTCTCTCCCGAGTCCTCACCGCCACACCTCGTTCTCGTTCCGAGTGGGTCTCCGGCAGATCTACTGGACATAAATTAATGGTGCCATAAACAGAAAAATATATGGAAATATGTTATAATAAAATTATATTAAAATCTGATTTAATTATTATTATTAATAATAACAATAATACTTTTACTGTTTTAATAAAATAGCGATCATGATTTTTAGGAATGTGAATAATAATAATTATTATTAATTTTATTTTTAATAATAAAAGTTAAAATAAAAAATTCATTTGTGGTGTTTTGCCACATTTAAAAAATTTTTATTTATGGGTTTTTTGTAAGAATGTTAATGTTAAGAATGTAAGGATGTTAAGAAGAAAAATAACACTAATATAAAAAAAAACATACTGAGTTTTCTTCATAATGGAGTATAAATATCTAATTATAATATATTATGATATTATATCCTAAATTATATTATAATAATATAAACATGTAATAATAATAATAATAATAATAATATTTATTATTATATATTAAAACAGCCTTTTCTACAGAATAAACTAAAGAATAATAATGATAATTGTATTAAGAATCTTATGAATAGACGACTGAGAGCAAGTTAATGTGCCTCAACTTCACAATTTTAGTGCATTTTTATGCAAGTATACAACATACAAGTATATACAAGAAATAAGCTTCATTTCTATTTTCAATATTATTAGTTCTTCAGACATCCTTCTTTAAGTACAATAAGTATCAGCTGTATGGGAAGTGACAATGGCCATGACCATTGAAAATGGGTAAAATTCAACCGTTTGGTCACATTGGGATCCCTATATCTCCGGGATTGAACAATATAGGGCCTTAAATTGAAAATTTCAAAAGAAAATGTATTAAGAACCAGATCCTAAAAGCACATTAAGATATCTTTAATACTGGCACACAAACTTTGGGAAAAGTGTGTTCAATGCAGTTTATTTATGGGTTTTTTGTAAGAATGTTAATGTTAAGAATGTAAGGATGTTAAGAAGAAAAATAACACTAATATAAAAAAAAACATACTGAGTTTTCTTCATAATGGAGTATAAATATCTAATTATAATATATTATGATATTATATCCTAAATTATATTATAATAATATAAACATGTAATAATAATAATAATAATAATAATATTTATTATTATATATTAAAACAGCCTTTTCTACAGAATAAACTAAAGAATAATAATGATAATTGTATTATTTTAAGAATACCTGTAGAATTGCCATCTGGTATAGGACATAAATTAATGGTGCCATAAACAAGCATATAGTCAATTATAATATTAAAATATGATTTCATATTTCATAGTCCATATGCAACTACAACATTAAATTATATTTAAATTGCATATCAGTGGCATACCTCAAAGTAATAATATCATTACTTATTAATATTAAATAAAATAAAAATTAATTCATATACGATTATATACTTCATCATATCAAATAGTAGCTTTAAACATTATATGGTGCATCTTTTTTTTTTTTTTTTTTTTAGCAATTATGAATAATGTGTATTAATATGAATTAACTGATAAGTCAAAAACATCTGTAATGGTTATTATTTCCCCCAACATTTTTTTCATTTAGTTTACTTGAATTTTTTTTAAGCCAAAAAAGTCTTTCATGTTTATTAAGCTTTAAAAAATATATTCAGTCATATAATCAGTCAATAACTTATGCTTCTGAACTCATCTTTTGGCAGGTGGTGGACCTGAAGAGGAAATGGCTGTATGGAGTGAGTCGTTCTCCTCCTGTTAGTCCTTCACTGTCCTCCAGTCGAACTTCAAGTCCTTGCTTTTCCTCTCCTCCATATCCTGGATCCCCGCTGCTGTCCCGCAAACTACCCAGCTCCAGGCCGGACTCCCCTTCGTCTCCCTGCACCGTTGATTCGGTGCTGCAGACTGAGATCGAAAAGCTGCAGAGGTGAGATATTATTAGTTTTATTCCTATATACTGACCTCGGATTATGGTCTACATCCAAAGACAACAACACCAAACCCTTCAACCGTTTGGTCACATTGGGATCCCTATATCTCCGGGATTGAACAATATAGGGCCTTAAATTGAAAATTTCAAAAGAAAATGTATTAAGAACCAGATCCTAAAAGCACATTAAGATATCTTTAATACTGGCACACAAACTTTGGGAAAAGTGTGTTCAATGCAGTTGTTTGGTAGAGGGGAAACTAGATGCATTTCTAGTTTCAACATTATTTGTTTTTCAGACATTCCTCTTTAAAAAAAAATCAACTGTATGCAAAGTGACCCACATTTGGTTTTTGACCACTATAAATGTGTACAATATAACACATTGAAATCCCTATATCTCTGGAAATGAACCATAAGGGCTCTAAAATGAAGATATTAGAAGAAGAATGGTTAAGAACTAAAATCTAAAAGGGCACTAAGATACCTTTAATACTTCTTGAGTTACAGGCATGCAAACTTCAGGTAAAGATGAAAAGTGATTTTTCCCATTTGTGAACGGTCATTATTATCATATAATGCAACAAAGATAGCCAAAGTCAACATATTTTACTAATAGACCCACCAGTCTTGGTGTATACTGTATAATATAATGTTGTTAAAGTCATTTTTACCATTTTTGGCTGTCAGTTTTACAAAATAGTGGATTACTCAGAAAATATACATCCATGAAATGTAATATTTTGGCTATCATCACTATTTGTTCATTAAAAATGAACTAAATAAAACAATTTGAGCCAGCGAAGTTTGTAAAATTTGCTTAACCCTAATTATTGAATAATGTTTGAATGCTGGATCTCTTCTGACTGGTGTGTTTTCTCAGAGCAGGTGTCTGGAGCGTCTGAAAGCTAGGAATGAGCGTCTAAATGCCGCACTGGTCAGAAGGAAAGGTGAATCGGAGCAGCTGAGCATGAGTCTTAGCCGACAGGAGGCAGACAACTCGGCTCTACACATGGCTCTGGCATACTGGTGTGTGCTGCTGTCTTCACCTCTGTATGAGCATAAAATCACCGCTGATCCCGGATCAGCGCTTAGTCATTTGTATATATCACACTCGTTTCTAAAACTGATCCTGAAAGTGTTTTCTTGATTCTTTTTGACATTGTAAACCTTGACCTTTGGCCTTGAGGAGCGTGCATGTGTGAGTGGTATGCTGATAATGGCTCTTTGATTGACAGTGAGGAGTGTGAGGAGGCTTACAGTGACCTGCTGTCCCTGTGCGAAGCCAGTAAACAACAGAACGCAGGTGCTGCACACTCTTTGAATTACAGCTCATGTGGCACATAAACACATTAAAGTACAACCTCGCACATATAAATAAAGCGTTTTTATCTTACAGAAATACTTAGCACACCCCAACCTGAGAACTTGGAGAAAGGCGAGCCATCCTCCAGTCCTCCAGAGAGCACTGCTGAGACCGAACCAAACAGGTTGTTGTTTTATATGCAATGGCAACATTTACTGTTGCTCATTTCAATGGACTATTTCTGCGAAAATGTCCGGATTTTTAAGTCTTTTTGCAGACATGCATTTTAAGTGTAGTTTAATCAACAAGGTGGCTACAGAACATTGAAAAAATACGTAGCGAGCTATTAGTACTATTTGAAAATGGAAGGGTGTCACAAAACTCCATTGGACTCAGTGCAGTGAAGGATTTCACCAGAAGGACTTGCAGCGGTGAACAAATTGTTTGATGTAAATTTTGCATCAGGTTCAAGTTTGGTGAACACTGGCATACTAATTCGCAGCGCTGACCAATAGCAAGCCTACTGGTTCACCAGTGACCCCGGCAAGACATTTGTAATGTAGCAACAAACCAAAACACTGATTTTGGTCTGAGAGTTTACCACATGTTATGATGTTAATATTATAAAATGATATATAACCGCACACTCACTTGCAAAACGTTGAGTAATTAATTAAAGGGGTCATATGATGCTTTTTTAAAGATCATTATTTTGTGTATGTGGTGTAACAGAATACGTTGACATGCTTTAATGTTCAAAAAACACATTATTTTTCAAATACTGTACATCAGGGGTGGCGAACTCCGGTCCTGGAGAGCCGCAGCCCTGCAGAGTACAGCTCCAACCCTAATTAAAAAAAAAATGGTCATAATATTGTATATTAATATTTTTTTTTCTGTTTTCAGTGACATTTCTTTACCAACATCAGCCCTGATCATATAACTACCAAAAATGCATTCATTTTCAGGATTTTAACCCTTTAAATGTCAGTTTCTTGTTTACATAATGATTTTTATATCAGTAAGTCTTAAGTGATATATCAATAAATATGTTAATTGGTTTAGAGTCTTTGCACACTGAGTCCGAAATTCTCGCACGTTAAAAAATAAATACGACCTAACATTGTGTCAATCATGTTTACACACTGCCTCTGAAACTTCCGTCCGTAGTAAAAAAAATTCAGACCAGGTTCGATTTTCTGTGTTTTCGTAGCAAGCATTTTGATTCAGTGTGCAAGGACCTTTAGTATGAAATAAATGTATTTTAAATATATTATGGCAAATAGTTTTTTTTCTAGGGTAGCAAAAACGTTAATTATGATGCATTATTAGGCTATTTTTGTGCAGTGTCAGATTAAAGAAAAAACATTCACACACACACACACACTCCTTACAAACATGCAAAACACACTCTGATATCGATACCAATACACCCACACAATTATAATTACATAATTTCAATTCAGTTGCCTTTTTAGCAGAAGCAGTTAACAGCAAAAATTATGTTTTTACAACAGAATCAAAGCCTATTAACAAAGAATGTATGCTTGAATATTAAATATTACAGTATTAATAGGTTTCAAAGGGGAAATTTTGTCCTTTAGGTACAAAAAATACACCCAGGATCATGTGTAAAAGAAATGTACGAAAGGAAATTAAATATTAAAATTCCAATAAAAATAATTTTTTTTACACAATTTATGCTGTTTGCGTTAACCCAGCCAAAATGAAAAGAAAAAAAATGAAAAAGACAAAAATGTCCCTAAGGATGCACAAACGATGCACTCATATACTGTATGTTATGAATGTGATGCAATGCAGTTTTATCATGATTACTTTACAGTTGAAATGTACAGTTTCTCATAACATGATTTAATTTTGCGCAGGAGGAGATGTCAGAGATGCGTGGGAATCTGCGGCTCCTGGCGAAAGAGAGGCGGTGTTTGGACCTGACGCTGATGGTCCAGAGTGCCCAGGATTCTGCTGGTGCTCTGATCCTGGACAGTCTGCGAGATGAGCTGGGGGAGAGGAGAGCCACTCAACAGGTGCTTTGAAAAGCCTAGTGTGTCAAAAGTTGATACATTTTAAAAACGATCCGGTACCTGCTGATATGCATCCACTTTTAAGTGTTCCCTTGTGTGAAGCACATCAATGGTTTCTATTTACAACAGGGTTGAGCACTGTAGCCAATAATAGACATGTTTGTTGAGCGCATGAACCCAATGACCAATCAGAGTCAGAGAATCCACTGAGTTTGTTCAGCATGCGTGCTCACAAATTGTTTCACTATAACCAAGTATAAACATGATATACGTAAGAGACTGATTGTGCATCATAAATAGGAGTTTTCACTCAGTCAATGAGTTCCTGCTGCGGCCGAACAGATTTGATTATAATGGGAGCGTTCTTTGCTCCCATTGGTTTGGAAATGTACTATTATGTTTGCATGATGGTCAACAGAAAGTTGTGAGTTACAATGTGTCGAAATACCAGATGTTTTTTTTTTAAATTTTCGGAAACACTGAAAAGTGATGCACCTTGTCTCGGTTGTAGAGAATTGCTGAAAATATGGCAAAACTAGAAGGTGGAGGGGGGGAGTTTTCACTCAGTCAATGAGTTCCTGCTGCGGCCGAACAGATTTGATTATAATGGGAGCGTTCTTTGCTCCCATTGGTTTGGAAATGTACTATTATGTTTGCATGATGGTCAACAGAAAGTTGTGAGTTACAATGTGTCGAAATACCAGATGTTTTTTTTTTTAATTTTCGGAAACACTGAAAAGTGATGCACCTTGTCTCGGTTGTAGAGAATTGCTGAAAATATGGCAAAACTAGAAGGTGGAGGGGGAATTCCTGGTCCTCGGAATCACTCTATCCTAAGAGAACTACAAGCAGCATTGCAAAGGTAGGAAAAGACACCAAAAGACATCAGACTCTCATGAAAAGGACTCATTACTTGTGGATGTTCTACTTCCGGTTGCAGGGAACAGTCACTGAGGAAGAGAGTGGCAGCTTTACGTGAGTCGCTGGACTCGGCGCTCACAGACAGCACTACTCAGAGAAGGATCAACAGAGAGGAGATTGCGCGTCTCTCCCACTACTACATGTAATCCAAAACCCCATCACAACACTATAGCATAAGAAGTAGAGTACATACAGTCACATGATTATCATAGTAACAGCTTGTATAGTCACATGATCAACAATTCCGACAAATATTTAACGGACGCTAGCTGGTAAGAGCTGTTAAGTCAAGTCACCTTTATACAAAAGAAGATTGTGTCAAATAAGCTTCACAGAGATAAATAGGAAATAGCAGAATCAATTATGGAAATACAGTTATGAAGACAGTTTAGATTCTGTTGTAAAGCAGCTTTAAACCATGTTGAAACAACCAGCATATGCTAGTTAGGTATGTTTTGAAGCATGGTAGCTGGTTTGAGCTAGTTTAAGCTGGTGCGTAGTTGGTCACAAACTGGTTTAAGCTGGTCCTGAGCAGGGCCAGCTCAGGACCAGCTTATAACCAGGGCATAATAGTATCATTGTCTAACTTAAGTCAGTTCAGTGTTGGTTCAGTTCAGATATTTTCACTGTGATCATGACTTCTGTTTCTCTCAATTTATTAAGCATAATCATTTGTGATGTTTACCTTCTGGTTATTTATCCTAAAAACTTTTTATTTTAATTTGGCATTTGCATTATCTTGCATTTGTAACAAGCCTCCGTAAGCTTGTGTGGTTGCCAGATTTCAAGAGATTCCAAACAGAGCTTTTTTCATCAATTGATACACTTCCTGCCCAGTGGTATACTGAATCTTCTCAACCTGGCAACCACGCACATGCCCTCTCTCTGCATTATGGAAAAATCGCTGATGAGCTGAAAACACTGGTCAATCATTTAGCAATCTCTATTGAGATTTCCTTCTCAAATTAAAGTGTAAAACAGCCAGTCTGTTTTCTTTTACACATTTGTTTGCTTCAACTAAATCTGTGAGCAAACTGTGCGAGTTGATGTTCTCTTGATTTGTGCTTATGTGATTATATTTTTACGCATAATAATCATGATGAATCATTTAACCTTTATTGTGCAGCCTTAATTAAAGCTGTGCAGGTAAACCCCACTCACCTGGCCTCAAGAGGTGCACTAGCAGCTCACTCTAGTGGCTGCGGTCTTTAGAGTCCTTGTTAGTGAGCCTGATTACCATGTCAGTCGATGTTGATTTGAATCTTATTCGGAACAGTGCAAAAACACCAATTTATATTGGTGCCGTGACCCGGATGGGAGCGAGGTCTTTAGCATCCTTGTTAGTGCATCCAACTCCAGTTGACGCTGGTTTGTATCCTGCTCAGACTTGAATAAGACCAATGACAATAGTTACAAAAAGTTAGCTTTATTTGTGTACACTTATATGTCAACATCCCATAGAATAATCACAATAATTTTTTCCAACAGTAAAGTTTCAAGCACCTACAGAAGTTCTCGAAAGAAGCACCAGGAGCAGCTGTGGTGACTGGAGAAGCAAATCGCAGTAATGGGTGAACGACATGCTAAAGAAGAGGCCGAGCTAAGTACTACACTAGAAGCTATGGAGTGGAGGAGAGAGGAGACAATACTCTAGACAGTGCAGTTCTTCTTGGTATCATTTTATTGACAAACATTTATGAAAGCTAATGATGAACATTGATTTTGAGTGAGGTTGGGCAGAAACACTGAGCATATAGATCATTGACCTACAAAACTAAAATTGCAGCACCAGGATGCACCATTTGTCAATAAGGTAATTGCTTTGCTGGCTCCTATTGGTGTAGATGCAGCATCACTCAAAAGTTTGGTTACCTACCTGATTGTAGGAATACTCTTCAAAGGCATATTTTTCTCCCATGTGAAAAAGTTTAACTGAACATTTATTAGCCATTTTGACAGTTTGCTGGAATGTACATCATGTAAGTAGACAAGTAGCCAAGTGCAAAGACTGCAAGTATACCTATTGGGAAAGACCAGCTATTCTAGGCCTTGATATTACTAATATATCTCTATATCATCATGTCAGTGTACATCATTTTACAAATATTTGCTTGTAAGTATTATTCCTTTCTATTTGTACAGAAACATGTATGTGAAAAATTGCATGCGAATTTTGTGTATCATTTTAAAAGTTATGTTTTTTTTTGCATAATGAATAAAACAGTTACAGTTTTGATGTAGTTTAAAAACTACTGTGACCTGGTAGTTTGCTGTATGAAAGCAGGCAGCAACAACAACAACAGGTGCATGCGCATTAGAAAAACATTATATCAGTTTTGTCCATCTAACACAACTCGCTATTGCATTGACAGATATCGCTATACAAACGCTGTAATGGTTATTATAGTTAAAGTTCCCCTATTATGCCATTTTAAGGTTCCTAATATTGTTTGTGAGTCTCCTACAATAGGTTTACATGCATGCAAGGTCAAAAACGCTTTCATTTTCTCAAAATATGTTTTAATATCATCTGATTCTCCAACGATTCTTAAACTATTTGTTCGAAGCAGTTCAAAGTTTTAGCCTCTCTAAACCCCTCCTTTCTGTGAGCCTACTGTGCTCTGATTGGTCATGGCCCACTCTGTTGTGATTGGTCTACTGTGTACAACATGTGTCAGAAACGATACGCTCATTGCCATAGTTCCATATTTTGAACGCTCGATAGAAAATATAAATATCTATTATTTATCATATTTACAGGTTGTGATTCAGTGGAGTCAGCTGGGTCCAAATAAACTGGGTACTGAGCCATCTTTCAAGGGCAAGCGTTTTGTGAATCCTGCATTGAACATTGAGAGAATTCAGAATTCCTCAAATTTGAACTAAAATTAACACAAAATCAGAAAATATAAAAATTAAATGTAATCGAAATATGAACAAACTATTATAGTAGCTCAATGATACCAAAATAACACTGCGTCGTAACTCTGACCTCCTTTTGTCCATTCCCTCTTCACGATCAAAGCAGCTGCATAATCATTTTCATTTAAAAGCATTTTTCCCTTGTGAGTCTCAGGAAAACCGAGATCACAGAAAATGGGTCAGTGTGTGCCAGAGGTGGTGTGTCTTTCCCAGCGCGGATCACTCTTCCTGTGAAGATTCGGCCTCACCGTCGCTCTCACAGTGGAAATGGGGGGGGGGGGGGACACACAATAGAGATTTGTGAGTCTCCTACAATAGGTTTACATGCATGCAAGGTCAAAAACGCTTTCATTTTCTCAAAATATGTTTTAATATCATCTGATTCTCCAACGATTCTTAAACTATTTGTTCGAAGCAGTTCAAAGTTTTAGCCTCTCTAAACCCCTCCTTTCTGTGAGCCTACTGTGCTCTGATTGGTCATGGCCCACATCACAGAAAATGGGTCAGTGTGTGCCAGAGGTGGTGTGTCTTTCCCAGCGCGGATCACTCTTCCTGTGAACACAATAGAGAGAGAGAGGTCAGAGGAGCCTGACTCGCACGTTTGTCTTCTCTTTCACTGATCCACGTCTTTCAGTGTCGCCCGGGCCAGCTGACTGCAGCAAAGGTTGAGTGTCACACCCCCGGGGTTAAAGGATTTGCTCTGTGTTGCAGGAGCTGCTGAATAAAGGGGTCACGGGGTCAAGATAAACAGACTCTGTCCTGAACACGCCTGCTTCGGGAAGATCCGAGTTTTAGTGATCGTTTGGATAAAGATAATGATTATGTCTCCTATATCCTCAACAAACTGCTGAAGTGATGTGAAAACGACATGCTGAATGATGAGATTTTTGAGGTGATTTTTCACCTGGGAGACAAAAAAATGTGTGAACTTACATTGAAGGAAGGACCTGAGGTATACAGGTCAGCATCTTGGTATGGTACTAATATGTACCATTTAGGTGCTAAGATATACACTTTAGGTATTAAAGTGGTCATATGATGCGATTTCAATTTTTCCTTTCTCTTTGGAGTGTTACAAGCTCTTGGTGCATAAAGAAGATCTGTAAAGTTGCAAAGACTAAAGTCTCAAATCCAAAGAGATATTCTTTATAAAAGTTAAGAGTCAGCCACACCTACCTAAAACGGCTCGTTCTAACACGCCCCCACATATCTACCTCACTATGTGGGAAGATTTGCATAACGCCGCCCAAATGTTCACGCAAAGAAAGAAGGCGTAACTTTTATTCTCACTGTATTGTTGCCGCCGCCGCCGCCATGTCGTGAAGGCGCTGTGTGTTTCGTTGTGAAAGCGAAACTACTTTGTTTGGTCTTCCAAAAGAGGACGATATCCACTTCGTCATGCCTGGAGCTGATCCGTGCTGGTCGCTGAGGGAATACA